GATTATATATGTTGATAAAAAATCAAAAGATCGTAACTAGGTTGTTATAAGGGTACAAGTATAATTGACATATTATAAAATCATGAATTTGTTATATATATATATAGATATATATATAATATATATATAGATATATATATATATATCTATATATATATATATGAACATGTTAGGATTGTATAAGAAGGCATTATATATATAACTAAAATGATATTCAACATGAAAATGTACATTGCTTAAAATGGTTGAAAAACAAAGTTTGAGCACATATATACATATGAGTTGAAAATATATATAAAAAAAATCAACTTTTTATATATCTGTTTTACCAGGTTATGTAAAATGAACTTAAAAACGACTTATATTATATTTTATATATTTATTATAAAAATATAAATCATTTTTACTAAATTACGAATTTTGTTACATACGATTCCTTAATTAATTTTTGGATTCACGAAATGTATTGTTATAAAATTATGCATCATACTGGTTTTTTGACTTATTGGCTTTATGGAGTTGTTGGTTTCATTTTGGTTGAAACCTGGAAATTGTTATAAAAGAAATCATTATGTTGCCCAAATTTTTTCACCACAAACAATAAAATTTAGAAATATGTTAAGTCTTGTGAATCCCAAATATTAAAAAACTTCAATCAATAATTGTTCCTAAACAACAAAGAATTATAAGTGTTTAATAAACTTATAATGGACACATGGTTAGGATCCAATACACACATGTTTTCCTATATGAGTTGTGTTTGTTTCTTAAACTAAGACTGTAAATCTTAGTAAAAACACTCTACATTATAACCATTAATCTGTATAGAACGAGGAATGACATGTATAAGATCGATTGTATAGATTTATATGGGTACACATCCCATCAACGGTTTCTCGCAACAACCATCGTCTAACGAGTCGATTTGGGCGCTGACGTTCCTACTATACTTATTCCACGACGTTGATATAACGTTGATTTGGACTTTCAACACGCCCCTTTGTAGTTCTAGTGCATAGGTCTCATGTCATAGTTCGATTATGAGCTCATTATAGACCCTTGGTTCATTTTGTTGTCGTATCGAATTGAAATAGGATTTATACACGATCTTTGTTCACTTATACAAGTTGGAAGAGATTGTATGCAGTGGGAAAGTTTTGACTCAAAATGATAAGTGTCATTACCAAAATTAAGTCATATAATACTTAATTAATATCATGACACGAATGGACAAGATTTATAAACTTACAATGTAACACCCTGTTTCTAGATCGGATCGACTTAGGGCTTCAAGGAGTCAAAGGCATGGTTTTTGGGTAAAATCAAGGCTCATGACGTGACCATAGAAGGGTCACGATGCGAGGAGTGATCAAATGAAAATTTTGATTTAAACTGAGGTCACGATGTGAACAATAAGAGCTCACTACGTGAGATGCGTTGCAGCCCAATCCCACGCTATTTTAGGGTTTCCATCATATTTAAACCCCATAAACTTTATTTTAGGATTCCAAACCAGCCTCCTTCATCCCTAAACTCAGTAAAACCCTAACCCTAGCCTCTCTTTATGTTTTTTGATCTTTTGGTGGAGTTTTGTTGGTTTGAAGAAGAAGATATCACCATTAGAGCATAGTTTCAACTTGGGAGTTCCATTTGCAACCTTTAGCTACACTTCTAGACCAATATGGGTAATCAAGATCCAAGTTTTATGTTTCCTTGTTTCTAGATATAAAGTTGTATGCATGTTTGGCCATAAAGTTGGGACTCCATAAAGTTGGCAACTTTATGGGTCCAATGGGTTCCTTGGTGCTTATATGTTATAGATCTGAAGTTTGGATGATGTTGGAGTTCATGCATGAGAATTTATCTTTTTTACTCCATAAAAGAAGTATTTTGATCCCAAGTCTTGTATTGGACATCCAAGACCTTAAAGCATCGATTTTTATGATCCTTGGAGTGTTAGGAAGCCTCCTGGAAAAGATGGATTAGTGGCGTAATGGATTAAGAAGTTTTTGGATCAAAATGGATTCCAGACTAATCTCACAACGTGAGAAGATGCATGTCACGTCTTGAGGGTTGTGAGACTCGATTATTTTGTCCTGTATTGGCTCACGACGTGAGCCATAGATGGTCACTTTGTGAGGGACTGTTGACTGTTGACCGTTGACTTTTTGACCAAGTTTGACTTTGGGTCAAACTTGAGGATTTTGAGCTATTGATTGAGATTCTATCCGGTTTTGGTGTTAGTGGATTCACGAGAGCAAGCGATGTTGAAAAAGGGGTCGTATCGCATGGTTTAGAGTTCTTCGATTCAGGTGAGTTTCGCCTCACTATACTTGTGGGTCGAAGGCATGAATGTCGGTCCACTAGTTTTGGTTATCTGTTAGTAGACGGATGCCTTAGGGACTATATATAGTCATGTAGGATAGACTTAGGACTCTTGATCTAGGCTCTTTTACCTGTTCCTTGTTTGGTTGTGGTTCTAGAGTAGGATCACCTGTCCAGGTGTCTATCTCACCTCTGAGTATATACGGTCATGCATTCCTTGGATTGTTGATATTTAGTATGTTGTTGTGCTTTAGTGACCTGTTAGATCTGTATCATGGTATCAAGTATGCTGTTATGTTGTAGTGATCTGTTTGATCTGTATCCTGGTATCAAGTATGTTGCTTTGATGTAGTGATCTGTAGAACTGTATGTTATATGTACTTGTTGATTATCAATTCGTGGAGTGCCCTAAGGACTATCTGTGGTCATGTAGGGTATCCTGAGAACTCTTGATCTAGAAAGCTTGTTCCTCGTTTGGTTGTGGCTCAAGAATAGGATGTCGACATATGGTAGTGGTGGGTTGAGGCGGTCCTGTTTTGTGGTGTAGGCCAAGATACTCGGTGCGGGCCGGCTGTAAGCTGAAGGCATGGAGGCTCGGGAGGAGCGGTTGGGTTGAGGTGGTAGGCCAACAAACCCTGGTATTCCGTCCCGGATAGACTGAAGGCCTGCGAGATAGTCCAGTCAGGCCGAAGGCCCGAAGAGCGGTCGTTATGCATTCTTGTATGTTTATCGTATGGGGTATTTTGGGGGAAACTCACTAAGCTTTGTGTTTACCCAGTTGTTTATTATTTCAGGTATCATCGTTCTTCATGGGAAGGCGAAGGCGTGACTATACACATTCATCAGCAACAATGGAAAGTTTCACTTAAATATAACTGAAAATTTTTGGTTGTGAAAATGGGACGTTACATACAATTAATAAGTTATTTATATAAACCATTTACTTTTGTACGAAAACATTTTTGGCAAAGCTGGTTACTTTTGACAAAAATAAAAAGGGTACAACATGATTTATTTTTTATATTCAAAAGCCTTTTATAAAAATTATACTTTTTGGTTCTAAAAGTATATGGAGTCCAAACCTGTAGAAATCACCAACCTATTGTTGATGTATTTTAATATATGTATTGTTAGGAAAGTAAGACGAAGGAGATCTACACGCGGGTTTTATGGCATCCTCATTTTGTATAAATATATTTTTTTCGCCACTTTTTGCTTCAATGAAGATTTGTAACGATACATGTATTGATGAAAGATATTTGGTAATGTTTAATATTGGTACTTTATGCTATTATGTACTATTCATGTATGCTTTGACTGTGATATTCAATTCACGTCGCTCACCCCGATGATTCTGTCGTCGGTTGGGATTGTGACATCTCGTCTTTAAAAGCCACTTACAGCTCAGAAAATCATCCAAGATGATATATGGCGATTCTACAAAAACTATAATAAAGATAATTGACTAAAAACTTCCCCATGGTGTAAAAATCGTCCAGGATGATTTTTCCTTTCAATTATTTACTCTTACATTATCGAATCTCCTTTATGAAAGTAGTTATTTCCCATTGAGAGGGGTTGCCAACCATCCTACCTCTCATTTATCCTTTTTGTATGTGAATAGGGTAATGTTATTGTTGTTGTTGTTGTTTCTGACTAATATTCACATGGATGTACCTAATATCATTACTTGTATTTCAACTTCCAATCTTATTAAAACTTAGGTGTTACAAGTTCTTCCAATCTCAATTAGTATAGTAGTTACAAAAATTAATTATTCATCATACATTATGCTAAGAAACGATAATGAACCCTAATTTACGTTATCCTAATTGTAAGACACGATATCATGAAGCCATTATTTGTGCCTAATCATGTAGACGTATGTACTAAGATAGGTAATTGTAGTGACATATTGTGTGTCAAAACATGGATGATTTAATTATTAGCAATTATAACTTTGTCTATGTAATTATACCAGAATATAAGGGTTTATAAATTTTAATTATTGATAACTTAGCTGAAAAAAATCTTGTTTTTTTTATTATTATTTTTATTATCTTTTACTTTTTTTTTTTATCATTCTTACGGTTTCTGAATACTCTTTGCATTTGTTCTCATTTTCTGAATTTGTAATAAAATTTGTTTTTAGTTCAATTGGTAACTATTAATAATTTCCTATATTGGACTACTTCCAACAAATTTTTTTGACCATAAACTCTTTGTAGATTTGACCCGATTTACCCTAGCTACCTAGGTTAGTTGGTTTATTTTTTACTAAGACGACAACCTCAACCATATATTCTTGTAATATCTCACAATTTATGTTCCATTATTATAAATTAACTTTTAAACGTCTATTTCCATCCTTCCTAAGAATTTTCATTTGTTTTCCATCATTGGGTCTCTTTATATCTTAACATTTTAATTTTTTTTTTAATTTTTTTAACAGTTAGACTTCAATTAAAAACAACAAGAAGTTGGAATTACATGGTACAATACAATAGGGTTTTAACCCAAGAGTTCCAAATCAAATTTCTACTATATTTCGCTCTATTCTTAATCCATAAAAAGGCCAAAGTCTTGACATCATAGGCTAAAGCTAATGGACTCTTGACCTTAGTATTGGTGTTGAAGATCACATCGTTCCTATATTTCCATGTAGTACATAAGAATTATCTTGATATCGCTTCTAAGGTGTCTAAAGACCTACTTTCCACTTTTACAATAGAGTTTACCCCCAACAAGTCTTCTAAAGAGTCCGTTGAGGCAGGAAAATCATTCCACCAAGTCTGGATATGCACTTGGATCTTAAGTGTCTTGGAACAGTTCTTGAATATGTGTACCTCGTTCTCATCGAAAGCATTGCATAAAAGACAGAAGGTGTTAGGAATGTTTACTCCTGTCCGTGGAAGATTTAATCTGGTGAACAATCTGCCAGGTCTCACCCGCCATATGAAGATATTTATTTTCCCTGGAACCACCTTGGACCAAATGGTTGGCATGTTCGTACTCTCCAGTAGTTGAATGTCGATTTCCTTTCTCAGAGTAGAGACTGTATACTCCACTCCTCCATTAAGATTTCATCCCCAATTATTTGTGATAACAATACCTCTTGTGTCAACATTCCTATAAAAAATATTATTTAAATCTAAGTTGAAATCATTACCATATATGGGGTTCATGGTGGTCTGAGTGTGTCAATTTCTCGCTCTAACAGGAACACAGTTTGGGAAAGAATTAGCAAAGTCAACATTAGGGTCAGCTCGGAGATTTTAAGGGCCCCGTGCTAAGAAAAATAAATGGGGCCCTAAATACAATTTTTTAATATATAAGGAAAACAAACTAAAGACGGTGAATTGTCGTTACGGAAAACTAAAAAGTAAATAAATTAATTAAAAAGGAACAGATAAAGTAATGGTCAAAACTGTAACTTGAATTTGAAACATCAAAATGTTGTGCACAAGAATCCAACCACCTACCCTTGATTCAAAATAGAGGATTCGCTTATGCCAATTGGGCTACCTAAACTGTATCCAAAACCTTGAATAAATTCATATATATTAGTTATTAAATATATAATTTAATTAAAACTCGGACCCTATTTTTTTCAGGGCCTGTACGACTGCACTTCTTCCCCCCCCCCCCCTCCCTCCTCTAAAACCGGGCCTGGTCAACATCTTAAATTAATAATTTAGGATGTTAAAAATACCAACCACTTAGAGAGGATTCATTCCTTATAATCAAAGTTAAATCTCATATGTAAGGTTTCATTTTTTTTCTTAATTTCTAAGTGTTTGGCATTATCTATTTCCAATATATTGTTGTGTATTCTTTCCATTTTGAAAATTACTCATGATTGATAAGAATTTAGTTTTTTTATTTGTTCATTTACATCATTGTCTTATATCATATCTTCTTACACTTCACTACACTTTATATTTTAGCATTGTTGATTTACCACTAAATTTTGTTTTCGCATCAGTTATAACATGTATGTATAATAATGTTTTTTTATTCCATAATCCTTTTAAACTTTCATGCATTCATATAACCTTTTTACTTTATTATTAATATTATTATTATTATTATTATTATTATTATTATTATTATTATTATTATTATTATTACTTTGATCTTCCAAATTATGTCTTCCAAATCTTCTCCGCATAAGCGTATAAAAATTATTTTCTTCCTTGATGTTTCAAACTGTCCCTTCCATTAATCTTCATTTGTTTTCTTCGGTATTCATAGATCATATTTATTTGCTTGATGCTAATTCATTTTTCTAATAACGTTCAATTTATTCTGCATTCTACAGATCATGAATTCTAATGTGCATGAACCTTTATATTTCCCATATTTGTTCTTTTTGACTTTTTTTTATAAAGTTTACTTTCTTTGTGATCGATATATTACCATGAATTTGTTAAGATTTATGGAGTCATGAACAAATTGACAAGTTCCTAAGAGTTCAAGGGCCATAAATGAAACTTGGAAATTAAAACAATTGAATTGTTGAATGGACGGTGGAATCAATTGTTTAATATTTATTGTCACTATCTCTAATGTGAACGCAACAATTGAACATTAGAATTGGACGCGAACTTTCGGTGGAATAATCAATGGACGGCTAAAGAAAAATCTACGCATTTTTCAATCTTTGCGGCAATCTTGTGCATATTGCGGCTCACAAATATACCTATATATATATGCATGTATGTTTTGCATATTTTGTGTGCAAAAACTTGAGAGAACATCAAGTATAGAGTGTCAAGCCAATTGTAATCTTGTGAGTTTTAATAAAATTCTCTAGTTGCAGCCCGTGGATGTAGGATTTGCACCGAATCCGAACCACGTAAAATCCTTGTGTTCTTCTTGCTTTATTTTCGTTAGTTTGTGTGTGTGTGATAGTGTGTTTCTACTGCGTGTACCCGGTCCGGTTCCTAACAACTGGTATCAGAGCCAGATTAGCGAGGTTTGGAGGGTACAATCATTTTTTTTATCACGCACGAGTGTACCTGATTTGTATCTTGTTTGTCGTAATGGCTGAAGACAAGGTTGTAATCGAAAAGTTCAACGGTTCTGATTTTAGCTGGTGGAAAATGCAATTAGAAGCATTGCTATGTCAGAAAGACTTGGACATGGTACTCGGAGACAAACCGGAGAAAATGGAAAAAGCTTTTGAAGATGCGTGGAACTCAAAGGATAAGAAAGCCAAGGCGGTTATTACATTGTCGTTGACGAAGAGCGTTGCTTTCAACATCATGAATGAAACCACGGCGCGTGGTATGATGGAGGCTCTGTCAAATATGTATGAGAAACCATCGGCGGCTAACAAGGTGTTCTTGATGAAGGAGTTGTTCACTACAAGGATGAATGAGGAAGACTCAGTTACGGTTCACATTAACAATCTAAATTCAATTCTGTCCAGATTATCATCTGTGGGAATTAAATTTGATAACAAGACTCAAGCATCACTGCTACTAGCTTCTCTACCTGATAGCTGGTCCGGAACAGTTACTGCTGTTACGAGTTCCGTGGGGACCAGTGGTATGACTTTTGAAGGGGTTAGAGATTTGGTTCTTGGCGAAGATATCAGACGCAAGAATCAAGGTGGATCTTCTTCTTCTGATTTATTAAATGTCGGAAGAGGTAGAGGGAATAGCAGGAGCAGTGGGAGTCGGGGAAAAAGTTCTTCTAGAACTTTGAAGAATGTGAAATGTTGGAACTGCCAAGAGGTGGGACATGTTAAGAGTCAATGTCCAAAGAAAGAATTAAACATTGCTGGTGCTGAGAGTGTGTCTGAGGATGATGCACTGATACTCAATATGGAAAGTTCTATGGACTCTTGGGTCATGGATTCAGGGGCTTCGTTTCACGCCATGGACAACGGGGAAACGATGGTGAATCTAAAAAAAGGAGATTTTTGGAAAGGTACGGTTAGCAAATGAAGAGATGCTTCAAGTAACGGGCATGGGAGATATTGATCTAGTTACTTCATTGGGAACTACATGGAGCCTGAAGAATGTCAGGGTTATTCCGGAGCTGAAGAAAAAATTGATTTCTGTTGGTCAGCTGGATAAACAAGGACTGGAAGTAAGGTTTGGTGGTGGTAAATGGATGGTGGTCAATGGTAATTCGGTGATTGCTCAAGGTATGAAGCGTGGGTCATTGTATATGGTTGAGGTACCTGCTGAGGGAAGTATGACCATCCCGATTAATCAAAACAAAATCTAGTTCGCTAAATCTACTGCTAAGAGAGTTCATTTTACAAACATGAATTCTGGAGCCAAGGGGATGTTAGCTGAACGAGTTCGAAAGTCTAAACCATTCAGGAGATTTTGTGACAGTGGGAGCACGGGGTGTGTTCCGGGTACAGTTACAAAGAGCCGTTGGGTTTTGAAGACTAAGACTGGAAAATTCTCTCTTGTTGGAAGTTTGCAAAGTTTGGAGAGTGTTAGTGGTCCTCGGTGTATCTCTGGATCTGGTGGAGTGTCCAAACCGGTTGAGACAGAGGATGAGTCGGTGGTGGGATTAGCCACGACTGAGTTGGAGCTAGTGAGAGCTTCAACTGGCCCTTCTAGTACTTGAAGATGAGGGGCGGCTGCAATTAGAGAAATCAGACTAAGTTTTAGCTTGTTCTTTGGAACTGGAAGCTTGAAGGACTTGGTTGTTTTTTTAAGATTACTGGAATAATTTAGAGTTGGATGGCGGAGAAAGACTAATTTGTTCAAGTCTCCAAGTGGGAGATTGTTAAGATTTATGGAGTCATGAACAAATTGACAAGTTCCTAAGAGTTCAAGGGCCATAAATGAAACTTGGAAATTAAAACAATTGAATTGTTGAATGGACGGTGGAATCAATTGTTTAATATTTATTGTCACTATCTCTAATGTGAACGCAACAATTGAACATTAGAATTGGACGCGAACTTTCGGTGGAATAATCAATGGACGGCTAAAGAAAAATCTACGCATTTTTCAATCTTTGCGGCAATCTTGTGCATATTGCGGCTCACAAATATACCTATATATATGCATGTATGTTTTGCATATTTTGTGTGCAAAAACTTGAGAGAACATCAAGTGTAGAGTGTCAAGCCAATTGTAATCTTGTGAGTTTTAATAAAATTCTCTAGTTGCAGCCCGTGGATGTAGGATTTGCACCGAATCCGAACCACGTAAAATCCTTGTGTTCTTCTTGCTTTATTTTCGTGAGTTTGTGTGTGTGTGATAGTGTGTTTCCGCTGCGTGTACCCGGTCCGGTTCCTAACAGAATTTCACATGATCTTAACTTTATGTATCATTCCTAATTTTTTATCTTCAATACATCATTCATTTAACATTTATATCCAAGTTCGCGCTGATATTTATTAATTTCTTTACACTACCATTTTGTCTTTTTGTTTTACACTTTCAATCACTGTACACAAAATCATGGATTTAGTAGGCAATTAATGAGTGACTTTTGAAAAATAGGTTGATGACCTAATAAGTTTTTGCATCCTAGACACCTATCAATACCCAATGGAATATATAATAATACAATATTGTGATGTAGATTGTCATGTGGCGGAGATTCCCCAATACGTATTCGAATAGGAGATAAGAATGATAGTACATGAAACATGAGCAACCATGAATATATCATATTATCAATTTCATAATGATGAAGTGGCCTTGGTCCAATTTATGCATAAAATGACATGAGTAACCAATCTGAGTTCAAGATAAGTGAAGGTAAGATATTTAAGGCTACCAGTTGAGATTCTATATAATGTGTGATATGCAACAAGTTTATTGATGATGTCCAGCCACTATGTATTAGAAAGCATGTAATGCGATTTTCAGTTCATCATGTCCACATACTCAAGAAGCTCGACGATATGATTTTATTGACTATTTAACATATCGGTCTTACTACGAGAGGTAAAAATTCCAAGGAAATTATTTAGCTCACCTAAATAAGTCATGAAGAACTTGTGAAATAGGGATGAAACAATGTGTTGTAATAAGACGAGTGTGTTGGATTAAGGTGTCTAAGCTCATAACTAAATTAATATAACTTGTAACTAGAAACAGAGTCATTTTTGGATTGCCATCATAACTTGTTTCTGAATAGAATAACATTTGGAGAGATATAAGATAATTTTTTAGTTTATTATATTAGTAATAAATTAATTTGAAATGATTTGTTAATATATTATATGATTAATATATTAATTAGAAATAGTAATAATTAATTTAGATTTAATTTAGATTTAATTATGGGTTAATTAGAAATAATTAAAGGTGCAATGACTTAAGCTGAAATTGTTCAAGAGTTGAACAAGGAATGGTTACATAACCTTACTTGTGGGGACGGTTTTAATGAGACCCTATTAGGGTTGCTGGAAGCCTCCTCAAAGAGAAGAAAACTGGATAACCACCAGAAGTTGAAATATTATTATTTTATTCAGGATTGGGGTTTTCAGGATTTTCCTAATAGCTATAAATAGGACCCTTTGGGTGCTTATTTTTCGTCTATCACTTTTACCTAAAGGATAGCCAAACTTTCTCCTCTTGTCTTCTAGTTGTTAGGGTTTGGGTACAAACCATTAATATAGACAATAAACTTTTGGTGCTATCTTCTCAAGTGCAAAGGAGAGAATCAAGAGATTTATTTGCTATAATAAATCTAAAGGTATGTAAACCATAATTCCTTTTTTTTTCGAATTTTGCTAGGGTTCATGTTAGTTTTTGTTATTCAAAGTATATTGCCTTCAAAGTATAAGACATATATCTATTTAGGTTGCATGTGCTTATTCTTAATTGTTAACCTGCATTGTACATATTGTTATAACCTGCAAATTCCATCAGAGTGATGATTGTATAAGGATAGTATCATCTACGTAGAGCATAAGGTTTGACATAGACTGCCTTTCCCCGAATATAAAAAGATAGGTGTCCAAACATCTATGGGTAAAAACACGATACACATAACACAATTTTACAAAACATTGAAATCATGTGCACTTAGCATGTTTTCAATTTTATAGTATTTTAAAAGTGACCCATGTGATCCAGATATGGTAGATCAGGGAAATATAATAGTTGATGCATTAATACCAATTTCATAGGTGGTCAAGAATCAAATTGTTGTTCATGCATGTCAAATTGGCGAATCATATTCTGTTGTTATAGTCCATCCACCAAGAAGAACATCTCAGATCATGTTGTATATGCTTTTGTCTTGATGGCATCACCCTTCACCATTATATGATTTTCTTAAGGATCTTTCACCTCATAACTAGTTTGTGCTGTAAGGTGGGCTAGTTGTGGAAGACATGTCAAGTACTATTGTTATGGCGCACTAGGACAGTAGCTATGATGCTTCCCAACTAAATATGGAAAGGGTGATACACCCTATTAGGGAGAATGGTAGCTTTATGTCGTACGCTATGATGATTCACAACCACATATGGATGGCAATACATCGATCCTACTAGGGATAAGACTAGATTTAGTCGTCTATTGATGTGAATTTCATTACATTGTTGTCAACTATTCGGTTTAAGGCTTTGTGTTTAAGATAAACCATTATAGATGAGCAATTATTGGAGTGACACGTGTTTGTTGTCAAAAACATAGAGTGGGTTTCGAAGAAGGTTGGAAAGGGAGATCGATGACAAATGAGACTCACACTATATAATCAAACTTTGAGGAAAAATCATTAATCATGTAGATAACCAAATTCTTTTTAGAACTGTAAAGTAGATGTTGTCAAGAATATCACCGATAGTTTAGATTTGCATGCAATAATCAAAGATCAAGGAATCATTCCTTACGATGTTCCTCAGTTTGGTGTCAAGTACGATAGCTTTTCCATCTATGGTATATGGAAAAAGTGTTTCAAGAATCGTCGATACTTATCGGCAGTAGATCATATCGTAGATCAATATGGTAAGAAACATTGTAGCTGACATAATTTGTCTCAAACTGTTCAAATTAGGCATCATAATTTAGGCGTTCGAGATCACGCATGTGGGGTATGTAGGCTTTGATGTTGGTGATGCCATATGGTTTCTTGATTGAAGGTGTGGAAGAGAAGGAGAGGGTGAAGTGCCTCCAGCCTGGAGCAGCCATCAGATTGCATGAGTAGTGTTATGGGTATGGTACATGAGATAGGGATTAGGGTTTGAAAAGTTCTGCTAATACTTTGTAGAATAATGTTTTTTGATGAATTGTTGATCTCATTCGAGAAAATATACATATAAGATTACAAGGCACTATGAGCCTAGACAAAATTAATTGAGCCAAACATAGGCAGACTGATACAGGAATATATGCATACACTTACTGTACAAAGTAAATAGTTTGTGTTAAGTATTTTTGAGTCTCTGGAATTCTCTATATATTACAAGATTCGGTTGGTATGAAGTAATTTCATTAGAGAAGTGATGCAACAAATTTAGATTTGGTGCCTACCCAAAGAGATTGAGTGTCAACCTCAATATTTCCAAGATATATACCGAAATATACGAAGAGGCAAACAGTTCAATCATCATGGCATGCCATCATGCAAGAGTGATGTTGATAGGACATGTGAATGGTATCTCCCATCAGTAGTCTTTAACTCGGTTAGTGTATATTTAATCGAGTCTAGAAAGTGAATAATTGTGAATTAAGGTCGATATGAAAAAAAGAGCACATGAATGTTATCTTTGAAAAGAAACAAGATCAACCACCGTGAAATATATGATTAGTTCATTATCTTCGGTAAATCGAATGGATACATTACACCTTATAGTATATATTAAGTGAAATGCTAAAAGGGAAGTGTAGAATGGACACTTTATGTTACTTAAAAGATTGAAGCCCATCTAAAGATAAAGCACTTTCACCAAAATAGCAAAAGCACTTCTACTTACTCAACCTCTTCCCACTTTCCCTACCTTCCCATATTTAGTAACCTTCTGTATGTACTCCTCCGTTCTTTATGTACTACACATCCTAACTCGTTTTTAACGATTTGTACACATATTGCATCGATTTTACGATATAAAAGGAGTTGAGATTACTATTTACCCGATACCTGTCTTTCTTTTCATTTCTTCATCATCATGTTAGTTGTGTTTTACGTATACAGTTGATTTAAAAGATCACTATTGTGTGTGTGTGTGTGAGAGAGAGAGAGAGAGAGAGAGAGAGAGAGAGAGAGAGAGAGAGAGAGAGAGAGAGAGAGAGAGAGAGAGAGAGAGAGAGAGAGAGAGAGAGAGAGAGAGAGAGAGAGAGAGAGAGAGAGAGAGAGAGAGAGAGAGAGATGGGTAGGGGGAAGATCGAGATAAAAAAGATAGAGAATAACACAAACAGACAGGTGACATACTCAAAGAGAAGAAATGGGATATTCAAGAAAGCTCATGAGCTTACTGTTCTTTGTGATGCCAAGGTTTCTCTTATTATGTTCTCCAACACCGGCAAGTTCCATGAGTATATCAGCCCTTCAACCACGTACGTATATAATACATATATACATATATATACATACAGGCTACAGCATCTTCTGTATCTAGCTATATCTCTTCTAACACCTTTTGCTTGCTTTAAAGAACTCAATTTCATCTCTTCATAAAATCTTGATCTTAGTTAAATTTACACAGGACTAAAAAGATGTATGATCTGTATCAGACAACTCTAGGTTTTGATCTCTGGAGCTCCCACTATGAGGTTCGCTATTTTCTCTCCGCCCTCTCTTGTGTGTGTTTTTTAATGTTTTTCAAACCAGCAAATACGCAGCGAAGATTCACAACCTTTGGGTTGCTGGGCTTTAACCAGATGCTCATCTGGCTTTTGGTGGGTGTGTTTTGTAAGCTGATTCTTGTGTAATATGGTGGTGTGTATATGCATGTACAGAGAATGAAGGAGACTATGAAAAAGCTTAAGGACACCAACACGAAACTTAGGAGGGAGATCAGGTGAGTGTAATATATTAAAGGTTAAATATCTTGTCTAAAAGTTAAAAAAACAAAAAAAAAAAAAAAAAAAAAAAGTCAATACCAAAGCCCAAAGCCCAGGTGAGAAGTCAACCACAAAAACTAACAATATTTTGGAATATTTTTGGTGTGATCCTAAACCTACTATGTGAAGTTTTATTTTTAAAACCATTAGGCTTCCATCACGGGTTAAATAAATTAATCAAATGTTAAAGAAAGTAGTTTGGAAATATTGTTTTGCAGGCAAAGAGTTCTTGGTGAAGATTTAGATGGTTTGGACATGAATGATCTCACCATTCTCGAGCAACAAATGCAGGATTCACTTACCATTGTGCGAGAACGAAAGGTTTCATTATCCTCTACTCATTCGTATAGAAATTTTTTAATAGAAAACTTATAAGTAATAAGTAACTTTATTAACCAAAATAAAAAGTACTTATTTCAGTCGGTTATATATTACTAAAAATCAAAATTATTATATACGAGTTTAAATAGAAATTACTATAGGCTTAGAGTATTTTTGACAAACTAGCTTATAAGTGAGTTTATCAATATGCTATCTAACTTATAAGTTACTTTATAAACTACAATAAATTATTTTTATTGTTTTATCAAATCATAAATTACAATAATTAACTTAGTTTATAAGCTAGCTTAATTTTGTAAAGGATAAATTAATTAATAAATTTTTTGGCTTTATATATAGTACCCTAAGCTTTCATTCGGATACTTTGAACCACTGAATTTCAAGATTTATTCTAGAAAATTACCGATGCTTCTAATTAAGTGGGACTTATACATTTTCTTTGCTTGTTGACAGTATCACGTGATCAAAACTCAAACCGATACTTGCCGGAAGAGGGTGAGTAACCTCTCTTGTAGTTTTTAAAAATTTCATGTTTATATCCTATCCTATTTATTTTCATGAATATCTTAGTATGAAAAAACATCCATAAAAAAGATTAACAATATGTAATGAAATGAAATAGACTAAATAAATCCTTGTAGTCTATTTTAGAAAACTCCTCAACTTTTCTTTCATTTACAGGTGAAAAACTTGGAGCAAAGAAATGGTAATCTTCGACTAGACTACGTAAGCATCCATTAGCCATAAATCATATACTTCCTTTTTAGGGTGACATAAATTAAAACATCAGAATGAACTGATGTATGCAATGATCAAAACTGGAAACATAGCATTGGTTCTTTAATTTGCAACAGATCTAATTGATTAATGGACTTGTTTTTGTACATTTGAAAATTTCAGGACACTGTACATCAACTAGATAAAAAATATGGCATGGTGGAGAACGAGGGTTGCTATGAGTCTGCTGTTGCATATTCAGATGGCGTATCAAATCTCTACAGCTTTTGTGCGCACCCCAACAACAATATTTCCATTTCAAATGGCTCCGGTTACGATCCCCATGATCATCGCCTTCCTTGAGATAAGTTGGATGGGATGTTAGTGGCGCAGCTGATTAAATAGGTCATTAGTAATCTATATACAGTCTTAACAAACTAGTTAATTAGCTAATCATTATATATTATAATGCAACAATCTAACACCAAATGCAGAGCTGGTAACTGATCCTTGTACTTTTGCTATCTTTTAATGAAATTTATGTTGTTCTCCTAAAAATTATGGATAGTCGGATTTTTAAAATTATTATGTGAATAGTAAAAATGGACTCTTAAATATAATTTTTTTAATACAAGTAAAATTTATTAATACTGCGATAAGATTCAATACCTAATAGATTGCTCGTAATTATATTAGTGACTACGATTAAAGCAGAAAAATTGTTCATTTACAAATAATTAGCGACAAATTAACGAAAAAAGCCATTGATTCCAAAGTGTTCCGCGACAAGCTAATACGTCGCTAAGTCTTTTTGTTTATTCCATCGCCAATCTGTCGTTGTTGGCCTTAGCGACATATTTCCGATGAAATTTTAGGCCGCCGATCCCTATGCTTCTAGTACGTAAAAACAATTTCAGATCCCTTTCAAGAAGCATGTCATGTTCGGTCACTCACCCCACACATCCTAAGGTCGACTCTAGCCATATTAATAACTAGGATTGTAACAAACATATGAGTCAATACACATTTATTTCTATATTTTTGTCGAAATTTTTATGCATTTCTTAAACAATTAAAAAAATCGAAACCATGCACGGGGATAAAGTTGCTTCTTTTGGGGTAAAACTATTTTATGGTTAAATACAAAGTTGTACCGTCCGAGATAAGGATTGAAGTTGATTGTGTAACGCACGGTTTTCAGGTAAATTTCCTAAATATAGAGTGTTTATTGATTTTGTGAGTTGGCCTAGTACGTTGGGCGTACCATGGCAAAATTTGGACATGGGGCTTTCCTCCTAGTACGTTGGGTATACATATGGTACGTTGGGTGTACCTGAACCAGAAGCAAACCCTAAATTTTAGGGTTTGGACCCTATTTAAGCACCTTATGCCCCAAGGTTTCTCTCATTATCATCCTCCATTGTCCCCAAAGCATTATCTCGAAACCCTAATCCTTTTTTAGAGAATTTGAGCCTTGTGTGTGTTGGTGCATCTTGAAGAAGAAGAACTCATTAGAGGAGGATTAGTTTGGTTGGAGCTTGTAGATCCAGCACTCTCTTCACATTCGCAAGCTTCTGGTGGTATAAAGCTTTAAACTTTATGGCTCCTTGGCTTAGATCTAGATTTAGGATTATATTTGGTATATTTTGGTCCCGTGGTTTGGTTCTTGTGAGTAGAAGTTACTCCAAAACTTGCATTAGTCATTTCTTGGCATTTCTGAAATTGTAGAATCATAAAAATGGCATATTGATGGGTTAAGCTAAACCATTCATGAAATAATGGTCTTAATATGAAGTTAGAGTGTTAGAAAAGCATGTTGGGCCTCTTTGAGCCATACAAAGGCATCAAGTTGATGACTTTATCATTGAAGACGTTTCCCTTGAGCAAGATCTGTTTTTTGGACGTTTGGACTTAAGCATTATGTTCTTAAGGAGAGTTTTGGCATTTTGAGGAGTATGTGGGGCGTACAAAGGTGTACGCTCAGCGTAACACGTTTAAGCCCCGATTCCTTTTCGCTATGAAGCTTGTATGTGGGGCGTAACTGGTGGTACGCGGGGGGTACTCACCAGAACCCTTATTTGTGACATCCTCAAATTTACTGTCACTTTAAAAATTTTATTTATGCTTATTTAAAAATCAGAGTATCCTTTTTAAATAATAATATTGCGGAATTTGTTCCCAAAAAACATGATAAAGAGATTATCAAAGCACTTCCGAAGAAATATATTTTGTTTATATTAAAATATTAGCATGTCATCGTCAATACATTCATTTACACTAATGATTTACATCTCTTTTAATCTCTCAGTGTAATGTATCTTCGTATCGAAACATGTGATACAAAAAAACTGAGTGGATCAGGTTGAGAAACCTGGTGAGTACATAGGGTTTTCAACCCACAATAATATAATTATTATGTTTAATCATCAAACAATTAACCCAACTTCTCATCCCCTTTATCTTCTTTATTCTTAAGGATCTACCCTAAGAATCATCTATTCTTCATTCATTCATTCCTAAGGATTGTTCAAAGGATTGTTCTTAAGGATATAATTATTATGTTTATCCAACATGCACTAAGTCCATAACTGTTGATGTTATTTATTAGGTACTAAGTCTATAGCTGCCAATGTTCATCTATAGGGCACTAAATCCATAGCTGCCAACGTTCATTTATAAGGCACTAAGTCCATAGCTGCCATGGTTTTTAGAGTACATCTGGTGAACATGTAGTTCAAAAACACCAACAGGTTGCGAGCCTGCTAGTGTTCCACTTGACTGTCTAGAATAGTCTGTGCTCGTCATCTATACTCTGCTAGATGACTGAATCATCGTTTAAGTCAAGGCTTCTCATCATCTTTTCACCTCTCAATGTCTATATCATATTTCATCTCTCATCATCCATATCATCTTTCATCTACCTATATTTACACAATGTATTTATAGGTATAAAAATACATATACAGTTTAAATCAAGTAAAACATGTATAAATCGTTCATCCAGCATAGATATTAGAATCACAGATAATAAGCACATATATCATGTATTAATATTAAATACTTCATATCTATATGTAAGATGAAAGTAACTATGCACTCACTTGTTAAAGTGATGACTCGAAATTTGGGCAGCGTTTCGCTTCTAACAATTGTGTTTTCCCTTGACGAAGCCTAGTATCATTATTACTAGATTTTAGGCTTATATTTATTACGACTAATTATTAGTCTAGATTCATCATCATTATTAGTCTAGATTCATCATCAACTCAAAGTCTACGTTATGATTTATCAAGTACGGAACAACCAGGTAGCATCATATCGGAGGTAGGGTCCGTTTGGTATACGTAGTATACTGTTGGAAAATCCCACTTTAAACACCTCGCTAATTCACAGCCTAGACATCGTCCCCGTAAGTAGATCAATCAATATAACGACTTCGAATCACTGATAAATCTTGTTTATAGGTTCATAATAACGATAATGAACTTAAAGATAAGTTATACTTAAAGTAGGGTGAGCATAACTCATTTACAAGGGGGTTTAGCTAGGAGACGGGCTCTGTAGGGGCAGAACTTCTGAGCCGAAAGCTCTTTTTATCGAAGCCTTATGGCGCTCTGGGGCTCGCTTCTAACACTTAAGAAGTACTAGGGAAATGGGAAGAGGGTTTGGGGGTGTTTGGGACAGCATTGGAGTGAATTGTTGTGGAAAAATGAGGAAAACGCCATCTATTTATAGGCTGGGAAATCTGCGTACACTGGGCGTACTTCGAGCTACGTTCATTTATAAGGCACTAAGTCCATAGCTGCCATGGTTTTTAGAGTACATCTGGTGAACATGTAGTTCAAAAACACCAACAGGTTGCGAGCCTGCTAGTGTTCCACTTGACTGTCTAGAATAGTCTGTGCTCGTCATCTATACTCTGCTAGATGACTGAATCATCGTTTAAGTCAAGGCTTCTCATCATCTTTTCACCTCTCAATGTCTATATCATATTTCATCTCTCATCATCCATATCATCTTTCATCTACCTATATTTACACAATGTATTTATAGGTATAAAAATACATATACAGTTTAAATCAAGTAAAACATGTATAAATCGTTCATCCAGCATAGATATTAGAATCACAGATAATAAGCACATATATCATGTATTAATATTAAATACTTCATATCTATATGTAAGATGAAAGTAACTATGCACTCACTTGTTAAAGTGATGACTCGAAATTTGGGCAGCGTTTCGCTTCTAACAATTGTGTTTTCCCTTGACGAAGCCTAGTATCATTATTACTAGATTTTAGGCTTATATTTATTACGACTAATTATTAGTCTAGATTCATCATCATTATTAGTCTAGATTCATCATCAACTCAAAGTCTACGTTATGATTTATCAAGTACGGAACAACCAGGTAGCATCATATCGGAGGTAGGGTCCGTTTGGTATACGTAGTATACTGTTGGAAAATCCCACTTTAAACACCTCGCTAATTCACAGCCTAGACATCGTCCCCGTAAGTAGATCAATCAATATAACGACTTCGAATCACTGATAAATCTTGTTTATAGGTTCATAATAACGATAATGAACTTAAAGATAAGTTATACTTAAAGTAGGGTGAGCATAACTCATTTACAAGGGGGTTTAGCTAGGAGACGGGCTCTGTAGGGGCAGAACTTCTGAGCCGAAAGCTCTTTTTATCGAAGCCTTATGGCGCTCTGGGGCTCGCTTCTAACACTTAAGAAGTACTAGGGAAATGGGAAGAGGGTTTGGGGGTGTTTGGGACAGCATTGGAGTGAATTGTTGTGGAAAAATGAGGAAAACGCCATCTATTTATAGGCTGGGAAATCTGCGTACACTGGGCGTACTTCGAGCTACGTTGGGCGTACTCATGCCACATGTCATGCTCTCGTGTAAAGACTTAGGGAAGAAGGTGTGGCCCAGATCTTGCCACGTGTCACTCGTTGGTTAATCCCAATCATTAATTATCTTCTAAATTTCATAACTTTTGCATACGAGCTCCGTTTTTGAAGTTCTTTATATCCATGCGAAGGTAGCGATGTGATCTACAACTTTCATTTAGACTCCGTATGCTAATTTTGATATATTTTCAATGTTATATTTCAACATGCTTAGACAGTTAAAGTCCGTTAAAAATTCATAACTTTGTTATCCGAAGTCCGTTTTCGTCTGTCTTTATACCATTGAGCTCCTATTAACGAGATCTTCGATTCTCGTTTAGGTTGTGTTGGCTAAAAATCGATCGATCTAAAATCCGATTTCCGAGCTGCATATTGTTATGTCAAATCTTAGAAAAATCATAACTTCCTCTAACGAAGTCAGATTTGGACATTCTCTATATGCACGCTCTCAGTTTAACGTATACTATAACTTTCGTTTAGATCGCTACGGCAAAAAATTATGTTATCGCAAACTCACTTTTTACAATATACAACGTCGTGCCTGTTTTGTCGCAAAACTTCGACAGGTCATAACTTCTTTGTTATAA